TATTCTATTTAAAACATTTTAGCGTTTGGAACATAAAATAAAAGTAGCGAATACACTATCAAGGGTATTGAAAGGTATACAATTTTAAAGGTACCGTAAGATATTTTTCATTCTTTAAGTATAACATTTTGCTAAAATCTATATTTTTGTAGTTCAACAGTTTAGAATTTTATAAAACAAATTCATAATCAAATAGCTGTTGTTAGTAATCGAAAAATAACAATCGCTGTTGTTAGTAGTCCAAGATGTGATTTTTGCGTAAATGTCACTAAACTATACAAATTGCTATTATCCACACTATGAATGTTTCTTTCATGCGAAAGTGTCCCGTTTCCGATTTTGACTGTCCACGTGGAAGTACTATCAGAGCACTGTCAAGAGAGCTTCTGGATGTCAACAAAAAACACCCCAGTTGGTGACCGAAGGTTCGAAGCAGTGCTTCACTTCTAGTGCCGATTTGGCCACTCCTTCCTTTCTTACCTCCATGTGATAACCGCATGCTGGCGTGGAGGCAACCTGGTGAACGGTACAGTGAAGATGTCGCACGACACACTACCGACACAGCAGGCGTAATGGTCTGGGAGGGGGCATAACCTATGATAGCCGATCTACTCCAAGGTTTCTAAAATATCCTAATATAAGAAATATCTAAAATATAAGAAAGTATTTTACTGATCTTGGATCTACTCTAATTGTTGTACATGGAACCTTAATGGGACAACGTTATATTGATGGCATTCTTCGACAACACGTGGGACCTTTCCTAATGGGTCTACTGGGCAATTTTCCAACAAGGTAATGCTCCTCTAGATATAGCTGGAGTTGCTCAGGACTTCCTATGTCATGTTGAGACCCTGTTTCATGGCCGTCGCGCTGTCCAGATTTTTCCGTTATAGAGCTTGTGTGGTGTTTGGGACCAGTTAAAACATTAGATGCCACCGTGTCACTTTGTACATGATTTCGAGGTGGTTGTTCAAGATTTGTAAGCCTATCTACCTCAGGACAACATCAGACGTCTAATCAACTCAATGCCGGACGTGTTGCGACATGTATTGCAGCAGAAGTCGGCCCAACGTGCTATTGAAGTTGTACTGCATTTATCTAATTATACATTTCTAATTGTGTTTAATTGTATTTGCCTATTTGTTTAACTGGGGTTAAGTTAGTCTCTCATCTGTATAATTATGTGTATTAAATTTCATTTCAGTTCGAAGCTTCATTCTTGGTGCGCTGTTTTCAGCGTTGAGTGTAGCTTCATTTTTTAACCTGACAATATAATTTTATGAGATGAACTTATACTTCTTCCAAGCCCTAAAAGTTGCTGAGCGGTAAAGGTTGCTAAATATTGGTAATTCGTTTCAGATTCGAATGTAGGCAAACATTATGGGTGCATAGATGGCTTTCTTGGTTTGCTTCATGTGTAACGTGAATATGAGTCAGTTTACCCTAGAAAGTCCTTCCCAAAGGGATCCCTCTCATCAGGCAGACAGCCCTCGCGTGTTTGCCATAATAAGATAACCTAACCTAATCTTATGCTCAATACTGTTTTAAGATCTGTTCCTTTCAAAGGGATAAGATTTTAAAAAAATTTTATTAAAATTTATCGTTAATTTCCCACGAAACTCTTTTGTGCTATATAAAAATTTATGACAAGACCTAAAAATCGGGGCTTAGAAAAAACGATAAAGAATACATTTAATCATGCTGAACTTTTAATAAATCTCTATCTCTACATAATAATAAAAGAAAGAGTCTGTGTGTGTGTCTTTCGTTCGCGTTGCGCGTAAGCTAATAGACCCACGGCTACGAAATTTGGTACATAGGTGCATCTAGATAAGAGCCAGTGCACCGCGAAGCAATTTTTTCGAAATTAGAATTTTTTTTAATTTTATGTTTTGTGACGAAATCGCGTCATTTTGAGACATAATGAATGAGCTATAGGAAAGCGAAATTTTACTCTACACACTCCATTTTCACATCGTCATGAAAGTAGGCACTTGCTATTTACGAACTTAAAATAAATTTCGTGTTTCAATAAATCGATTAAATACGAATTTATTTAACAAAGGGAGTTAACACCTTTTCAACGGGATTTTTTCTAAAAAGTTTATTTTTAAAAGTATAAGCTTATTTTTCTTTGATTTTGGACACGTTAAAACTTAATCCTTGCGACTGCTTTTACAAAAAGAATTTTGGAAAAATGATAATATTTTGTATTTTAAAAAAAGAATTAAATGAAGCTTCCGAGTACACTTCTCACATCCATCTTAAAAATGTGATTTTGGCAACAATTTTCCTGTCTTATTGTGTTGATAGATTTTTTGATGAAATCGCATCATTTTGAAGAGTTTCATTCTTTTAGAAATATGGGTTTGGCAACAATTTTTCGTATTTCTTAGGTCACTGTTTTTAAGAGATTGGCATATTTCATTGTAATTTTTTTTATAATATAATACATTTTTATTGATTTTTTTTATAAAGTTCTTCTGCAGTGTAAAATTCTGAGCGCAATTTTATGTTTTTTGAGTTGCTTTCATGTTATTTTTTGCTATTTCACTGTTTGTAAGATATTGAAAAGTTTTGCATGATCTTTTTTTCTTCAACGGAAAGTTGGTTAATATTTTATTAGGATAATTAATATTTGTATTAAGGGAGCTTATTTCATTGTAATATTTTTCTCTTGAAAATATAAGATAAAATATCATTAATTATACTTTGCTTTTCAGAATTTTTGTTTTTTGTATTCTTTTATGTTATTTATTGCTCATTTCACTATTTTTAAGGTATTGAAATGTTTTGAGTGATTTTTTTAGGAAACAAAATTCTTAACCTCCTTTATACCATTTGAGTTCTTAAGATTTTGCAAAGGGAATTTGGTTAATTTATTTATTAGGATAATTAATATTTGTATTAAGGGATACTGCTTAGTATCATCAAATTAAATGGCTGCGATGTGGTGTTGGTGTATTTAATTATGGCAAAGCACACTAGGGCTATCTGCCTAAGGGGAGGGATGCCTTTCATGGAGGACTTTCTAAGGGAAACTGGCTCGTATACACGTTACACATGGGGAAAACCACGAAAACGCCCATGCAGCCAGCCCGTTCGCGGGATGTGACTACTGACAAATTTTCTCTGAAGATTCCTAAAGTTTCATAACATTTCAATATTTCAGAAAAAGAATCATTCAAACTATCGAGTAAGAAACTGTTTAAAAAATTTAATTTCATTGTAGAATTTTTATATGATTTTTTTATGTAGTTATGATGGCGCTTAAGAAGGGGGATATAAATTATGCTTTAACAAATGTTTAATGCACATCTCATACAATCAGTTTGCTAAAAATTCAAGATGTATATGTTTTTCTGGAGATACATCAAGACCGTATGCAAGGGAGGGTTGGAATCTTAACAAAGAGAAAAAAGTTGGAAGAACTTACGCGGCCATCGGTCCCAGGTGTGTCTTTTAGGCATTTTTCCGGTACGTTTAAAAGCCAGACGAAGGCTGGCCGCAAAGCGGCTAGTGATGAAATAAAGAAAGAAAAAATCGTCTGCAACTGATATGAATTGCGTAGAATTTAATGCTTAAGTAGATATCGATTAAAAAAAAGTTGCAGCATCAGTGGTAAAAGATATCTGCCTGTTGCGTTTGAAGCAAATCCAAGCATGTAATTTCTGATGAAGAAGACGTTGGTCAAATATTTCAGAAAACATTATAAGTCTGAGCAATTCATAAATGATTTTTATAAGAATTGCAAATAGCCAATTCTTCATGACATTTTCCCTGATTAAAATGCTATGAAAATACATATTTATATATTTCTAGTTATATTTATATTAAATTTAGTTAAATACCATTGATATTTTAAAGGATAGTTGCAGTTTGTTTCTCATTGCTTATATTCGCTATTATTCAGTTAATGTTATTAAAATAGGCATGGACAAACGTTATCACATTAAGTGCAGCCTACTTACTATAACAGACCGTCCCCAGAAGTCTACGATTAACTACATGTTAACCCAGTAGTTCAGCTCATGTTTGCCTTATCCGATTACTTGTCACGCTGGCTAAGTAACTGCACCGTCGGTTGTGACCCGCCAAAATAACCCGTGACGAAATAGCCTAAATATAGCTACAGATATCATATTTCTGGTTCAGCACACTTTATCTGAATATAGACTTTTTTATCATTCGACAAAATTTACATCCAGCTTTAGTATGTAAAAAGAAATAAAAATATTTTTTATACTTAAAAATAAAAGCAAGACATGTAAGACCAGTAAAAAACGAAATCATTGTTTATTAACACTCATATTTCAATATTGTTAAATTGTTTCATGATACTTGGATACATTTTTTTGCAAGATAAGTAAATCTTCTGCAAATTTTACAACACTTATAATTTAGAATTTAAGCCAAAGGATATCAAAATTCTGTATGCTGTGGTTATTTGTATGTGGAAATTATTATTACAGCATCTTACTTTAATACGGCACTTTTCTAAATTGTTATGAAGCATTTTTTAATAAGATATTCCTATCTGCCAGCATACATATATGTACAACATCAGTTTGAACTTGTACTATGTTCTTTATAATACATTTGCGGGCAAGATATAATTACTGATCTATATACATTCGTCATAGCACTCTTTTATCATCTACATATATTTAGAAACTAACAAATAAAATAAAATAAAATAAAAAAACTGTTCGAGGGAGCCAGCTCAGAAGCTTTTGATTTAAGCTATTTTATCATTGGCTATTTTGTCGAAGTTTATTCTGACAGGGTATTACTGCCGATAGAGCATGCCATGGTCATATAGTAAGCCAAAATTAAATTAAGCTAACCCAAGTAGGCATTCATGCAGAAAGTCAGATTAAATGGAATGTTTAATTTGATGTAGACAAAATAGGAATTATTTTAAAGCTTTTGCTTAGCCAAACTATAAAAATTATATGTGTGAGAAATTATAATAATTATGTTTTGTTATTTATTAGAAATTTGCAGCTAATCATGAAGTGGATGTGAAAATTGATTGTACTCCAAATCAAGTTATTATTAACTGCACTAAAGAAGAATTTAGTAAGTATGGTAAATTCCTAATAACTTATGAGCATTCTTACGTTTTATTGCGTTAATAACCTTTCAAAATTGGTTTATTTGTAAAGTAAACAAATCTATTGCGTAATGAGAATTTATTTAAAGACGACTATGCATACAGGTGAATTATTTGCCCCTTGTATTTATGAAATAATTATTTGAATTTTGTTCTGTCTTATTCACCAACAGACAGCCTCTCTAAAATAACCCGATTATTTTAAAGATACCAAAAATAATTTTCAAAAGTAAATATATGTTAAAAATAAACATATGACAAATTTAATTTGTTAATAAATGAGTCGTAATGATCACTCATTTCGAGGATAAAAAGGTGAAATACACATTTGACTCGAAAATTGATAAGAGACCACTGCTAAAATTTCAATTAATGCATAAAAGAAAGTCTTATTTACATGACTTACGTAATGCAATAACGTATTTCAGGAGAAATAATTCAACGATACATTTAGAGTGCATTGTGAAATAATGCACTGTAAATGTATGCCCGCATGCATATATTTAGAATGACATGACACTACATACAGGATGTCCTGTTAGTCTATAGAAACAGTAGAACTTCAATTATCCGAATCAATTGGGACTGGATCCCATTCAGATAATTAAAAATTCGGATAATTGGATTTTTTTCCCGAAGAAAAGGACTACGTACACTTTAATCAATTATTGTAAGTACTTTATGTTGAAAATGGAAGAAAAAATCTATTTTTGAAGAAAAAGGTTTTTAATTAATTGAAATGAAAAGGCAACACTTTTACGTACATATTATATAGCGTACTGTACAGTACTTACAAGTGCTGAAAGTCATTGCTTGCTGAACATCTCGGTCAAAGTAAGCTGTTTGACAGCCTTCATTCATTTTCGGGCGTCAAAATCGCGCATCCCCTTGAGAGTTGCATATGGTCACACTCGGATTGACGCTCCATCCACTTCAACGCAGTTTCTGCTTCAACTTCAACTACACATGGGGAAACATAAAACATGACATAAAAGGTCATCTTCTTCCTTGACACTTTCTTCTCTCACACTTTCAGTGAGTTCATCCTCATTTAGAATTTGAAATCCAGAATCTGACGAATCACACACCATTCATTCTGCTGTATCCTCAGCACTAACTTCGGAACATTCAGGAATTCTGAATGTTCCACATTTTTTCCTGTCTATTCCCTTTCCTTTTCTTGATCTTTCTTACTTTTCCTTTTCATCCTTTTCCTTCTCTTCTTCAGTTGATTCTGAAAAGATCTGAATTTCCTAATGCGATTCGGATAGTCGGAGTTCTGCTAATTGGAGTTTTATTGTATTTTCAAAATTCATGAAAATTGAAGGATTTGGTAGAGTTGAAATAACAGGGTTTGCTAAAATGTTAGTCTCTTAAAGGGGGATTTTTTGGGGGGGAAAGGAAAAAAATATATAGTTAAAATTTTCGTCGATACAAGAACACATTAAACAAATACAAGAACAAATTTTGTACAAGAAATTTGTATAAGAATTTGTACAAAAACAAATCAAACATTTTAAGGGGAATTTTATTTATTTGCATTAGCACATTTTATTTTTTTACATGCAGGTAAATGTTTACAAGTATATCACTCGTATTCTATGTGTCCGCCATCACTATAAGTTACAGTTTGCAAGCGGGCTCAAACACCGTTAACTGTAGCATGTAGCATATCCGAAGGGATGCAAGAAATTTTGTTATGAATGACGTCTTTTAACTGCATCAAAGAAGATGGCTTATTGCGGTACACTCTGGGAAAGAAGTTGCTTACATGTTTCTTATATGTGTATTAAACTACTTGTAGATAAATTTCATTGAAAGGTTTTTGAAGGGTATTGTTTTCTTATCGTTTTATGTTATCAAAATAGCCGTGCACCAACGTGATCACGTTAAGTGACACCTACTGTATCAATTTTAATATGTCATTTTATATATAACAACAGTAAATATTATTTATTTCAGCATTCAAGTTCGGCTTGTATAAGAGAAGAACTGAGGAGGAAATTGCGACACATTTTTGTTTGCAGCAGGAATCTTCTTCATGTGTTCAAGAAGATAATGAGATGTTGACTAGGTGTGAAAGTTATATTGTTGAGATAGAAGGAATGTCGCACTTGATTGGGTAAGAAACACAAAATCAAACATAGTAAATTATTTTCTGACATTCCGTTTTAAACGTTAGAGATCTAACTCAGATATGTCTCTCTAGATTAGATAAGAAATACAAAATCAAACGTAGTTTTCAGAAATTTGATTTTAAAAGATACAGATCTAAGTGTAATTCCGATGTGTAAATGCTTTGATAGAAAAGGCAAAAAAATAATGGAAATTTTTAGTGGAAAAAAAAAAAAAAAAAGAGCGAACGAAAATGTAAAAATAATGATACCACGAGCGCATATACTATATATATATGCGTGTGTGGAACGCCGTCATCCTATAGAATACGTATGCATTTTATAGGATGCCGTATGTTTTTAAACAAAGTTGTGAGAAATGAGAATTATTTTATACTTTTCGTTGGCATTGCATGAACGTTTTACATTGGATAAGTTTGAAAAATATATTTTTTGAAAGCAGGAGCATGTTGCTACAGCAAAGCGCAAGAGAAGCGAACAAAAAGAGCGAGGAAGTTCCAAGTTACTCTTTATGCAGCATGGAATTTTTGCATGCTGTGTGAGCGAGCAAAAGGAAGATTAAAAGAGAGCGACATTGCACAGTAAAATACAAGAATGTTTACATTAAGCGAATTATAATTTCAGATACATGATTAATATTCGGATGGTGGGTTAAGATTTCATCGAATTCCAGGAATAATTGCGCAACAGAGATCAGGTGGCGGATCATTTTTCAGAATTAAAGATATTAAAAATTTATTGCTTTGTTATTTTTAGAATGAAGCGAGGGAGTTAAAGGGCCGCTGGTTATTTAAAAAGATAGTTATTTTATATTTTAAACACACACTTATATATATAAACAAAATTGGGAGTAACGTCGCACTTTGCGCGATGGACCGGTGTTCATCTCGGTTGCGATAAGCTAAAATTAAGATGATAAAATCAGCGATTCGGATAATTGGAGTTTTACTGTATTTTCAAAATTCATAAAAATTGAAGGATTTGGTAGAATTGAACAGGGTTTGCGAAAAAGTTACTCTCTTAAAGGGTTTTTTTTTGGGGGGGGGGGGTGTAAAAAAAAGTATAGTTAAAATTTTCGTGAATACAGGGCGCTGTACAAGAGCAAATCCAATTAAGGAGAATTTTATTTATTTGCATGCAGGTAAATGTTTACAAGCATATCACTCGCATTAAAGTCGCGCAATATGCTGCGAAATTAATTAAACAATCAAGATATAATAATTAGATCAAAATTAAATCAAGGGGACAACTTTCCAAGAGAAAATACTCAAATCAAGACGAAGACAAAAACAATACATATTTAAAATAAAAAAAGTTTAATGAAATTCATAAAATATAATGAATTGATATAAAATATCTAATTGTTGAAGATTCCTTGGCCTTTTTTCAAAGAGCAGCTGAAGAATTTTTAAGAGAGCCACACTTTTAATTGGCAGTTAATTTTTAAATAATCTTCATTGGAATTTAATTTTTAATTAATGTTTATTGGCATTTAATTTTTAATTTTAAATTGATGTTGAAATGTTTCATGAATTCACTATCATTTAGATATTATTCAGAAACTTGGCTGGTTGAAAATTCTTCGGCTGCTCCTTGAAAAAGACAAGGAATTTTCAACAATTATATATTTTATATCAATTTATTTTGTTTCATTGATTTTAATGAATTGTTATTTCAATTCTGTATTAGTTTTGTTTTAATAACATGTAAATCAAACTTCTATCTTAAAATAGCCTCTATTTTAATTTTGCTGTTTCCCCATTCTTTCCTGAAATAGTAACTGATTATAATAAATCTCTCCTAAACTGCTATTCGAAACTAATCCATATCATATGATTTTTGCATAGCGCGCATAATGTGGATACCTACATAAAGTCTCAGCCAATGATAATTTCAGACACTTAAAATTAACCAATCGAAATTAAAGTTAAACCAAAATGAAATCGTTTTCAATCGGATTTTCTTTTGAGATACATCGCTTTACGTCTCTTTTCTTTAGCTAATTAGATTACTGTTGGTATTTTTATTCTCGGTGCAACATATTAAAAATGTAAAAGTTCTTCAAGGACAGGCACTTGTAAATTACACAGGTTATTACTCTTAATTTTATGAAGTAGTTGAATTTTAATATATTTCTGTTCATATTTGAATGTACAGTGATACCTCGATATACGAGTGCCCTAATATACGAGTGTTTTGAGATAGGAGCCGCCGAGCGAGCGATATTTTACTTTGAGATGAGAGCAAGATTTGAGATACGAGGAATCGCACTCTACACCGCTGATCACGACCAACATGCGAGCGCATGTTGATGTCGAGTGCAGCGTCTAACAGTTTCTCCCACCTCAGACTATACCTCAGTCTGTGTGCTTGTTTCCCTCGTTTTCGAAGCATTTTTGATAAGTTTGGTTCGCGTTTTTTGCTTTTTGTACATTTACAAAACATTATCACATTTATTTTTATAACCATGGGTCCGAAGAAGAAGACAATGTCTATTGAATTAAAGCATGAAATCCTAGAAAAACATGAGCAAGGTGTGCGAGTAATTGACTTGGCGAGGATGTACGGGCGTAGCACATCAATGATATGTACTGTGCTTAAACAGAAGGAGTTGATAAAGGGTATAACGCCAGCTAAGGGCGTTACAATAATTTCATAAGCTCCGGACCTCTCTCCATGAAAAGATGGAGAAACTACTGATGGTGTGGGTGACAGAGAAGCAGCTTCAAGGAGGAACCTTAACACAAAGCATCATATGTGAAAAGGCACGAGCGATTTACGGTGATTTGCTGAAGCAGATCCCACACACTTCCACAAACGAGGAATCGGAAGACTCGTTTAAAGCCAGTCGGGGCTGGTTTGACAACTTTAGGAAAAGGACCGGCATTCACTCCGTCGTCAGGCATGGTGAGGCAGCAAGTTCGGATGTGAGGGCAGCTGAGGTTTACATTAAAACGTTTTCCGAACTTATACATCCCCAGCAAGTCTTCAACTGTGACGAGACAGTGCTTTTTTGGCAAAGGATGCCTAATAGGACTTACATAACGGCAGAGGTCACAAACCCATGAAGGATAGATTAACTCTAGCACTTTGCGCCAATGCGAGTGGCGACTGCAAAATCAAGCCTCTGCTAGTATATCATTTGGAAAATCCCAGAGCCTTTAAGTCACATAAGATTTTAAAAGAAAAATTTCCAGTTATGTGGGGGGCAAATCCGAAGGCGTGGGTCACCAGGAAATTCTTTGTCGAGTGGATAAACCTGGTGTTTGGCTCTTCTGTTAAAAATATCTACAGGGAAACAACCTACCCATGCAAGCCCTTCTCTTCCTCGACAATGCCCCTGCTCACCCACCAAATCTCGAAGATGATTTTTCAAGTTTACAAAGGTTCTCTACCTACCACCCAACACCACTCCTATCCTGTAGACCATGGATCAGCAGGTGACAGAAACCTTACCCTTCGAGAGTTCTGGAAGGACCACTTTAACATCGTGATATGCCTAAGAATTATTGATCAGGGCTGGGTGTTACAACGAGGACCTTAACCTCCATGGAAGAAGCTGTGGCCTGAGGCTGTAGCTGAAAGGGCCTTCGAAGGATTGGAACCCGAAATGTTAGTAGTAGAGGAGATTGTTTCTCTGGGAAAATTCATGAGTCTGGTGGTGGATGAGAGAGATGTGAGCGAACTCGTCGAGGAACAGTCTCAGGAGCTGACAACTGAGGAGTTAAACGATCTATATTCGCAGCAGCATACGGCGGTTCAACGAAAAATTAGTTTTGAAGAGGAGCCAGAGATGGAGGAGGTTATCCCTACAAGAGATCTTGGGAATGTGGGAGAAAGTTGTAGAGTTCGTGGATAAAAATCACCTCTAAAAAGTTGCAACTGGTCGTGCAGTTGTGCAACGAAACCTGCCTAACTCATTTCCGCAATATCCTGAAAGGGAGGAAGAAACAAACCTCTTTGGACAGTTTTTTTAAACGATCTGCAGGTGAAAATGAGCAAAGCGTGATGAAAAAAGCGAAGACCAGTGACGAAAATTAAGAGCTTCCGTAAGCACTTCATTTTTTCTTTTAATTATGTTTTTATAGAATATGTATTTGTTATTTATAAATAAATATTTCTTCTTGTAAATACATTTTTCTTATTCAAAAACACTTAAGAAAGACAACTGAGGTGGTGTTTTGGGAGCTGGAACGGATTAATGGCATTTCAATTAATTTCATTGGGACAAATTGCTTTGAGATACGAGCAATTTGACATACGAGCAAGGTTACGGAACGAATTAAACTCGTATGTGGAGGTACCATTGTATGTAACTATAAAGACTATTTGAATTATGGCCATATTGGTGGATAACTTTGATATAACTATACAATGCTAAAAATAGTTAGCTTAGCAGAACCAGGTTTTTATTGGCTATTGTATTTCAGCATCCCATAGCTGTCAACAAGTAGTACTGTTGGTTCGTTTATTTATTTAATCAAAGTTTTTTTTCATAGTGTTAGCATTCTGTTATTTGTTATTATCTAAGTCTATTTTGCATTGCTTTATGAATTGTTTTATAATGAGTAAATAACTGTATTAATACAATTTGATGAATATGTAAAGTAACGCTTTTATTTTTGTATATGACATTTTTATTAAAGAATTACAAGAGGAGAACTGTAAAAATTAAGAAATGATACTTAAGTTTGGATTTTCAAGAACTTTTATTATTTGGAAAAATTTGATGATGGGCACTAAAAATTTAGAACAGTCTTTTGATATTTTAAAAGTAAATTTGAATAGCTTTAAAACATGTAAGTTGGCTTATCATGCGGGTTTATATACTTGTATTATTTCATAATTTTACTTTCAGTTGTAATTTATAATTTTTATGCATAATTTTTTTCATTATCATGTACACTGCTAAAAAAAATGGGACAGTGCTATATCTCCCGTTCTACTGGGCCGATTGACAGAATTCAAACTGCGTTTTTCATGTCTC